CAGCACAACTGGAAGAATGTAATCGATGTCACTGAATTGTACATGTAGAAACTTTTGAAATGGTGTAACTTTGGCTATGCATATTTTCACCAAAAAAAAGGTCCTCCAAGGTCGTGAAGGGAGACTGCTGACATGTCATGGGGTTGTTAACCAATGTCATAAACAATATGTGTACTGACTGTTTAATGAGAAACTATTTGTTCTGTAAACCTTCATCTAAAATACAATTAAAAAATTTTTTTACTGAGGTATAATTTACATAGGCCATGAAATTCACCCATTGTAATTCCACCCCAAATAGTTCCCTTATGTTCATTCACAGTCACTTCCCATTCCACTCCCAGCCTGAGGCAACCACTGATCTGGTTTCTGTCTCTACAGGAGTTTCATATAAATGGAGTCACAATATGTTGTCGTTTGTGTCTGGCTTCATTCAAGTAGCATTATGTTTTGAGGTTTATGCATGCAGTAGTTTATTCCTTTTTAATTGCTCAATAGTATTCCATTGTATGGATATCCATTTCCAGTTGATGGATAGATGGATTATTTCCAGTTTAGGGGGTATTATGAATAATGTTGCTGTGAACATTCACGTATAAATCTATGTGTGCACATATTTTTCATTTCTCTTGTGTGGCTACCTAGGAGTAGAATTGCTGGGTCATGTGGTAAGTTTAAATTTAACCTGTTAGTTTTAAGAAACTGCCAAATTGTTTCCCAAAGTGACTAACACTGTACATACCCACCAGTGAAGTATGAGGGTTCCAGTTTCTCCACATCCTCACTTGTACTTGATATTGTCAGTCTTTTTGATTATAGCCATTCTACTGGGTATCTAGTTGGGTATAGTGATATCTTATTATGGTTTTAATTTGCATTTCCCTAATGCCTAATGATGTTGAGCATTTTTATATGATCATTAGCCATTACTATATCTTCTTTGGTGAAATACGTATTCATATCTTTTGTCCATTTTTTAATCGGGTTGTCTTATTACTGAATTGTAAGACTTCTTTACATTCTGAATATGATTTGAAAATATTTTCTTCCAGTCTGTGGCTGCCTTTTCATTCTCTTAATAGTTTCCATTGAAATGAAAAGTGTTTATACTTTGATGAAGCCCAGTTTAGCAAATTTTTTCTCTTATTAATTGTACTTTTTGTGTTATACATAAGAAATCTTTTTCTAACGTGAGAACACAAAGATTTTCTCCTATTTTTTTAAACATTTTATGGTTTTAGTTCTTACATTTAATTCCATTTTTAGTTATTTTTTGTATATAGTGTGAATTAGGGTCTGAGTTCATTTTTTTGTATATGGAAATCCAATCATCCCAGCACCATTTGTTGAAAAGACTCCTTTCTCCGACTGAATTGTCTTTATGCCTTTGTCAAACATCAATTGACCATAAATATAAGGGTTTACTTCTGGATTTGCCATTCTTTTCCATTGATCTGTATGTCTATCCTTATTCCAACAAGTGCCTGTTGTTGTTGTGTGTTGCTGAGTCGATTCAGACTCATAGTGACCCTGTAGGACAGAGGAGAACTGCCCCATAGGGTTTCCAAGGCTGTAATCTTTACAGAAGCAGACTGCCACATCTGTCTCCCATGGAGAAACCAGTTGAACTGCCAACCTTTCAGTTAGCAGCCAAGCGCTTAACCACTGTCCCACCAGGGCACCTTCAGCAAGTGCCTAAAAACCAAAACCAAACCTACTGCCGTTGAGTCAGTTCCAACTCATTGACAAAGAAAGGTCCACCGAACCAGGATCTCACAAAGCACACTCCAATACCACAAAAAGGAACATGAAAAAGATGAACAATTACATACAGAGTTACTTCAAAGAAAAAAAATGAAAACCAAAACACATCTACTGAGGAAAATTATCCCCCAAAAAACAACTATGAAATAGAAGAAAACTGTGAGACAACATTCCAAAAGGAATTAAATATAATCAAGCAAGCCTTTGAGTATATGAAAACTCACCCTGAATTAGAAAGACAAAAACTAAGAACAGAAAATAGGCCAGAGGGGGAAAAAAAGGAAAGATAAAGGAAAACGGAAATAGATTGAACTCAAGAAAGAAATGAAAGAAAAAGACAATATTATGTTAGAAAAGAGAAATAAATTACAATGTATCCAAAGGACAATAAATTCAAAATAAAAGGCACTGTGTCATGGTTTGCATTATGTCCCCCAAAAAATGCGTGTATCAATTTGGCTAGGCCATGATTCCTGGTACTGTGTGATTTTCCTGTATGTTGTAA